CTTTTACATAGCAAAGGAAACCATAAATAAAACAAAAAGGCAACCTATATAATGGGAGAAAATATTTGCAAATGATGCGACTGACAAGAACACTGGAATCTGACACAACATTGTAAAATGATTATAAATCAATAAAAAATGTTAAAAAAAAGAGCTTAATTTCCAAAATATGCAAACAGTTCATACAGCTCAATATCAATAAACAAACAACCCAATCAAAAAATGGGCAGAAGACCTAAAAATACATTTCTCCAAAGAAGACACAGATGGCCAATAGGCATGTGAAAAGATGCTTAACATCGTTAATTATTAGAAAAATGCAAAACAAAACTACAAAGAGGTATCACCTCCCATCAGTCAGAATGGCCATCATCAAAAAAGTCTACAAACAATAAATGCTGGAGAGGGTATGGAGAAAAGGGAACCCTCCTCCACTGTTAGTGGGAATGTACATTGGTGCAGCCACTATGGAGCACAGTATGGAGTTTCCTTAAAAAACTAAAAATAGATTTACCATATGGTCCAACAATCCCACTCCTGGGTATACATCAGAAGAAAACTCTAATTCGAAAAGATACTTGCACCCCAATGTTCACAGCAGCACTATTTACAATAGCCAAGACATGGAAACAACCTAAATGTCCACTGACAGACAACTAGATAAAGAAATTGTGTTATATACATACAATGGAATACTACTCAGCCATTAAAAAGAATTAAATGCTGCCATTTGCAGCAACATGATGAACAAAGAGATTATCATACTAAGTGAAGTAAATCAGAGAAAAACAAATATGTTATCTTATATGTGGAATCTGAAAAAAAATGACAAAAATGAACTTATTTACAAAATAGAAACAGACTCAGACATAGAAAACAAACTTATGGTTACCACAGGGGAAAAGCAGGGGTACCAAGGGATAAATTAGAGGAGTTTAGAATTAGGAGATACATACTACTATATATAAAGCAGATAAACAACAAGGTCCTTCTGTATAACACAGGGAACTATATTCAATATCATATAATAAACTATAATAAAAGGGAATCTGAAAAAGAATATATACACACATATATGTAACTGAATCACTTTGCTGTATACCAGAAACTAGTGCAACACTGTATGTAAATCAACTATACTTCAAGTTAAAAATATATATTAAAAATACCAAAAAACCAATTACAATAGTAACATCAAAGATCTAATCATCAAAGAGCTAATCACAAATTACCATAATATAATAACAATGAAAAAGTATGAAATATTTCAAGAATTACCAAAATACGACACAGACACAGGAAGAGAGCAAATACTGTTGGAAACATGGTACCCAAAGACTTGTCCGACACAGGGTTGCCACAAATCTTCAATTTGTGAAAAACGCAATATCTGCAAAGTGCAACAAAGTGAAAGGCAATAAAACAAGATATGCCGGTACTAGACAGAACAGGAGCAGCAAACTATCTGTAGTAACTAGGTAATATTTTAGGCTTTGTGGGCTTATCAGACAATTGTTCCAACTGCTCAACTCTGCCAGCATAGCAAGAAAGCATCCAAAGACAACATATAAATGAATGAGCATGGCTATGTTCCAAAACAACTTTATTTTTATGGACACTGTAATCTGAATTTCACATAATTTTCATGAGTCATGAAATTTTCTTCTTTCGGTTTTTTTTTTTCCAACCATTAAAAAAATGTTAAAAACAACTCAGCACGTGGGTCATACAAAAATAGGGAGTAGTCCCAATATGGCCTACAGGCCATAACCTGTTGGTCTCTGTGTCAGGAACTTCATGGTTGGTATTTATACTGACCTTTCAAACTGCACAATTTCAGCAGCCCCTGCAAACCCATGCCTCAACCTCCTTCTCCCTTATGCAGAAAATAGCAAGCAAAGAAAACTTGGTAATTCAAGGCAAAGACCAGAAAAAGAGAGACTGAATCGCCCCAAATCTAATACAGTCTAAACTGATTGTTAAAAAATAAGGCAACTCTTACCATCAGAGAACTTTTATACTAGAAGAAGAGTCTGTTTTAATACGGACTAACAAGAGGAAAAGTGAGTCTGAATTAAAGACTTTAAAATGCAATTTTATTTCTCACCAAGGAAGTATTACTGCAAAGCAGAAGGCCTAACAGGCCTGTTTTAATGAATAGATGACTCATCTGTACTCAGTGCATTAATTGTTGGGATTCAAATGTATGCTCTTAAAGTACTGGGAAAAACAGCTTCACTTTTAAAGCAGGTTAAGCATTCCCCCTACAGCCTTTTTTAAACTATCAATTTGCTTTGCAAACTATTTCTTGCCAAAGACTGTAGAAGTAAACTTCCATAAAACCCTGACAGATTTATCACAAATTGTAAGCTATTAAATCTCAAAAATTTTAAAGGACACATGTATTTGGGTAAGAAACATTACAGTCATTACTTTCAGTACTACAAAATCAATTCTGTCAGTCTCCCATCCCTAAAGTTGACACTGTACCTTTTGCCTTTTTTCAGTCCTTTCAAATTATTTCGAAACTTGTCCTCATCTTGGAGTTTCACTTCTCTTTCCCCAGTCTGGAGATTCAGTCGCACATGGGATCCTGCAGCAACAGTCTGACCTAAAAGCCAAGAAGAGAGAAGGCTTATGAGGAGTACAGTGAGTGGAGGATCACAGAAATGGAACAGGTGGCTAATAAGCCAACAGGACTTATCCATTGATCTCTCTCTCTAACACACACACCACTCACATATTCTTTTTGCTAATCCTTATTGAATAACAGAATGAGGCAAGGTAGTAAAGGATATCTGCACTTCAATCCAGAGACCAATGTCTCCCAGTTAGAACTTGCATATTCAAGTTATTCTGTTTTCTTTAAATTGTGCTATAATAAGCCTTTTTCTTATGTGTAGTAGATGAATGGCGAATACCTTCTCACCCTTCAGGACACAGCTACATTACTGCCTCCTCCAACACCCTTTGAGCCCCTCCCCTGACAGCTCCACAGAACCCCAAACAACTTGTCATTCCAGCAGGCTTACAACTTACTACCCTCATCAATTTAATGAGGCTCCTTCCTCCCTAAGTTCAGGGACTGCAAGTCCTCCTTTTTTATTTCCCCAGCCCCTAGGACTGAGCTTGACACATAAAAATTGTGGCATTTAACATGTATAAGAAGAGATAAAGAAGAAAGAAGAGACTGGAAAGCAGGAGGACATAGCAAGCCGAAAAAGCACAGAATGGAACTGAGAGGCAAACTAAAAATCTATGTCCACCTATCTCAGAAGAAATGCTGCATTAGCTGGGAAAACAAGTGTTATGAATGGATGGGCTGGCTATTCATACACATTGTACAAAATTACCCAATGATAGTTAAAAAGTAACTGTGCAAGATCACATACTACAAATGGAATGTTATACTTATTCAATCATTCACACATTCACTTACCAAACAACTACTATATACCAGGCCACTGTGGTAGGTTCTAGGAGTACAAAGAGGAATGTTAATGGCAAGAGGAATAGAGACAATTTCAAGAAAGGGACTTTACAGGAGACTAAAAATTTAGAAGCAGAGAAGCTGCTTTGACACCTGAATTTTGATTGCTTTCTCCTGCCAGTGAATGGTATTGCCTTCCTGATGCCAAGCTTGATTCAAGAATCAAAAAAGAATGACAATTTGAAAAAAACCCTTCAAGGGAAGCATACAGAACAAGTTCTCTTAGAATGATCAGGTAAGCCCTGAGTATAAAAGGGTAGTGATGTAGCAAGAATTCAAGTTTTCTCAATTCTTGCAGGACCATAATGAACTCCAAGTTCCACCAAAGTGCCTCCATCAGAGAACCAAGGAGCCAAAGAAATACCATACCTAGACATGCTGTTTTGTTACTGCTGCCCTACTTCAGCAGAG